AAAAAGGTTGTGGCCCAAAAAGCGGCAAGACGGCACGCGCCGTTGGTTGTCCGAGTTTGCATCTGAGACAGGTTCCTGAAACCGATAGTCCCTTTGAACTACTCTATCACGTATCCAATGCATTTTATCCCATTAGAGTTTCTAACTACGTTTTAGGGGTGAGTGTAATTACCGATATCACAAGAACCTTAAAGTTATTGAAGCATACCTCAGAGATGTTAGTGTAATTTACCCATAATAATGTTAAACCTGATAATCGGTAGAACCTTAGCCGCCGCCAGCCCGCCACAACAATGGAGCAGAGTTTCATCATGAACAAGCAACCCTGCTGAGTAAGCACCAGCTTGTACCATTCGAGTGCGAGGAAGGAGATTAATTGCTCTCTGTTTCCCAGATCGATCGATCGATGGAATATTTCTGAATGGAGAAGCAGCTGCCTCACCCCATGTATTTACGACTCAATTTAGCATCTATTAATTAATATTTATGTTTTCACAATTTCGTATTTATAGTGTTTTCAGAACAAACCTTAATTGGGGTATTTTCGATTTTATTTTAGATCTTATCTGCATGTTTATTTCACGTTTACGTATATACCCTAAAAAAAATTTATTATTAGGGTTTTTTTTTTGCATAAATCAATTTTAATCATAAAAATCCAATTTTGACTTTCTTTTTGTCCCTTTTCTTTTTGGCAACTAGCAAAAAAGCCCATCACATGGGACTTAAATGCACATTGGTCCACGAAAAAAACAACCTCTTCATTAAACTCATCCCCATGTCTTTAGTCTAAAATACCCTTCATAATATAATCCTTCTTAATTCCATCCATTATGCTCTAACTTTCTTAATATTACATATTGACCCGGATTTAAACAAATATATCACCGTAACCCCCATTTTTTTTTTTCAAAAAATAATTTTTTTTCTGAATTTTCTTTTTCCGGCCAGATTCCGACGTTGACCGCCGCTCTCCAGTGTTGATTTTTTTTTTTTGAAAACTTTTTTTTCCCTGAAACTTTTTTCCGGCCGGTCAACCACCGTTGATCGCCGGTCTCCTACGTTGATTTTTTTTTTTTCTTTTTTCGAATTTATTTTTTTAGAAAAAATATTTTAATGAATATTAGTGTCTTGGCTACTAAATTACTATCTCAGACTGTAATATTACTGTTTGGGACAGTAATATTATGAATATTATTTTTTCGAACAATAATATTATTGATATTATTGTCTAAGACAGTTAAATTATTGTTGGAGACAATAATTTAGCAGCCAAGGCAGTAATATTAATTAAAATAATTTTTTTAAGAAAAAAAATTCAAAAAAAAATCAATTAACAATTAAATTACTGTCTCCGACAGTCAAATAACTGTTGGAGTCTCCGACAGTTAAATGACTGTTGGAGACAGTAATTAGTAACGAATACAATAATATTAATTAAAAATATTTTTTTTTAAGAATAAAAAAGTCAATTAACAGTTAAATTACTGTCTCCGACAGTTGAATAACTGTTGCAGATAGTAATTTAGCAATGAATATAGTAATATTAATTAAAATATTTAAAAAAAAAATTAAAAGTCAATTAACAGTTACATTACTGTCTCCGACAGTTAAATAACTGCTGGAGACAGTAATTTAGCAGCAAAGACAGTAATATTAATTAAAATAATTTTGAAGAACAAAAAAAGTCAATTAACAGTTAAATTATTGTCTCCGACAGTTAAATTACTGCTGGAGACAGAATTTAGCAGCCAAGACAGTAATTAAAATATTTTTTTTAAGAAAAAAAAAAGTCAACGTCGGAGACCCGACGGTCAACGGCAGTGACCTATCGGAAAAAAAAAAAAAAAAAAAAAAAGTCAACGTTGGTCTCCGATGGTGGCGGGTCAAAATTGAAATTATGGTTAAAATTGGTTAATTGATGAAATTGGGCTAAATTGTGGTGTAAATCATGAAATTGGAGTTGAATTGGGTTTCAATGAATTGGGGGTAATTTTGGTAATATAAAAAGATTTTCCTCATTTGCAAATAAGTTTGAATCAGCTGGATTTATTTGAAAGACCAAAAAGTTGGATGTCCCTCTTTTAATTAAGTGCCATTATCATGGGCATATTTGCCATTTGCCCTTTCTTTTTTACGCCTGCCGCTGAACGTTGATCGTAATTGTACTATTAACAGTATATTCACGACAGTACAATTACTATCAACTAGGGGTGAGCAAGTCGGACCCATCAACCCGCTACGCCCGTCAAACTCGTGAAAAACCGCCCCATTGGGACCGGACGGATAGACCCACCCATAGGATTGGGTCCTAAAATAGTGAAGAACCGTGGGTTTGGGTCTAAGACAGGTTCATTTTTTTTCAATACCCGTAAAACTCGTCCTGCCCCGCCATACAAAACAACGTCGTTTTATTTACATTATATACTATATAGTATAATAAATTAATAATATTAATAAATAAATAAATAAAGCATCTCTAGTGTATCAAGTACATAAATAAACTAAACTATACTTGTGGAAGTAATAGCTATAAATATTATGAAAATCTCTAAGAAAATGTAGGAAAAAAAGCATATATATACAACGGTCCACACGGCAGAAAAAAAAAAATAGGGAAGAAAATTGTGCTGAATGGAGCTGAATAGCGTTTGTTATGCTTGAAAATGCTATATTTATTTTATTTAAATTTTGTCTTTTAAGTTTTGAATTAGTTATTTTTAGTTTTATATTAATTAATATTTACTCTTGATATATACATTATTTATGTTTGATTTCAATTTAAGATCTTAGGTTATTTATTTTAGTTTCTAGTTTTTTCTTTTTTAAGAGAACGACACCCGATGAGGGTGGGGGGTTAGGCTTGACCACTACCTGTTTATAAAAAAAAATTTAAGAAGTACATAATGAGTTTCGCTCAAATTGCTACTGTCCAATGTATGGCTAATAATAGCAATTGACAAACAAAAGACAATAGCTAACTAACAAAACGTTAAGGATACGGGCAAAACAGGTGGCCCAAATAATAAAAAGGACGGGGTGGGAGTGATCATAGAAGGTCGGGGAAGACCAAGGTAGAACAGGTATAACGGCTGCGAAATGTGTGGCACCATTCGGCAAACAGTCTAGTCTTGATAGACCCACACAATCCATAATCACCCCAACCCTTCCTAACATGTAAAGTTCACGAAAATTCCTAAATTGCCAATAATATAAAAATGTGGAATGCATGGCACCTATGTGCGAGACTGTCGTCGAAAGGATGGATATCCAAGCTGGTCCATCCCAATCATCTGCTGAATAGGTCGGGGAAGCTCCGCTGTTGTGAAGGTACGAGCCAACTCGGTCTGACACCCCAAGTTAGCTAATGCATCAGCTACTGTATTGCCCTCCCGGTAGATATGTGTAATCATGTACTCCAAAGT